ATAATGGAGTGACATGGTCTCGTTTTTTAGATCTTGTTATCAGTCTAGCGGCATTGTTTTGAATTACTTGTAAACGATATATATATGCCCCTCTATAAATAAGGTTAAAGAAAACAAAACAAAATAAAAAAGAGTAGGCCTATAGGCCCTACACATATGGATTTTGATGTACTCCTGTACTTGGCCTATAACAGGTGAGTGAATTATCGTCGACCAAAATGAGCTCAGCTTTGAACTGATAATCAAGCTCATTTTTAGCTCTATGAAAACTGCCTAAAAAAGCATAAAACGACACTTGGATCATTTGATGTAGAAGGCAATTGTGGCTCTATTCTGATGTACAAGTCCTGCTGCGCTTTCACAATAACCGAAATATAGTGTATGCCTTCCTTCATATTCATTTTTAAAATTTTAAATGTCCAATTCTATTTTTAATGAAAACTATATAAACAACAACAACAAATGCAACAACAACAACAACAACACAACCTGCACATAAATAGCCTAACTATAATGAGGCATATAAATACAAATAAAAATGATATCCTCGTACGTGGCAATGGTGGCCTAGTGTATATTAGGCTCTATATATCGTATATATGGGCTCGCAAGTGGAATGTCGTGGGCTCGAATCCCGTCTGGGGCCCTTGCGTTCTTGCGAATGGCAATTTACATTAATGTTCCTTATTTCACCCAGTTGGGAATAGGTCAAAGATAGCGAAAGATCTTGAACTTGAAGGGTCAGTAGGTTATTAATTGTGTTTTACTGCCTGCAGCCTGCATTGTAGGCTTCCGGATTTCGGGGAGATTGAAATTGTTTCAGAAAGCTATGAGGTCTGCCGGGGTAAAGAAATAGTTTGTAAACGTATAGACCTTGCTTTTGCGCGGAAATTTGCGCTATACAATTGCTATCTTTTATAGGTCCGATCTTTTATCGTTATCATTCATTTGACAAAAGGCAGTTTCAGAAATATTAGAATTTGGCTCCAAACTGCTGGTCGTTTGGCGACGTTTGGCAGCACACACAGACACAGAGGAAATACATCTGGCAACTGGCAATCCCTTTACTTGTCACTTTTCAAGATTTTCGCGAGTTCCTGCTTGGCCTTATTATTCGACTCTAGATCTATTTTTCTAGATCTAAACTTAAACATGAAGAAATTGTTTTTAGAGTTATATGATGTTGTTGGAACGAAAGCCACGCTGTGTATGGTTGTGGCAGACTAGGCCTAAGAGTCTTGTCTCCTGAACTCTTCTGACGACAGTCTTCGTCTTCGTTAGAAATTGCATGCCTCACCTCAAGAGTGAAGTAAGTATTATCCAGATCTAGAATCTAGATTCTAGATCCAGATCTAGATATCTATATCTAGATCTAGTACGTTCACTGTTCACTGTATTTGTCACAGTCTGAGTCACAGGATAGGGCCTAAACATTGACACTCTACACTCTACGTACTGTCGTCAGTACTGCCGTCAGCTGACAAAACGCCTTTTTTTTGTCCAGAGCAGTTTCGAGAAATCAACGATTTTCGGTTTTCTTACAATATCTCAACTACTTTGCACAGTACATCGATGTTTGAACT